GCACGAGACCATTTGTCATGGCCCATCCGCTCTAAATACGTACGAATGCGTGGATCCTCACTGTCAAGCATTTGAAGGTACTCTTCACACTCGTACACAGATCCAACACGATCAGCCTGCAAAAACTTCCATGACATAGTTTTTTGCGTGCCACGAAATCTTGTTTTCAAATTAGCCAATATATGGTAAACACAGTAACCATGCTGCGCATGGGGAAATACAGAACGCACGGAACTAATAATTCCCTCATGCCGATCAGACAAAATATATAGATCATCCCTATGCATCAGCGAATGCTTCAACATGCTGAAGAACCCTGACCAATTTTCAGTATTTTCTCCACTATAAATATCGAATGCCAATGGAAATATTTGTTTGTTTGCATCTTGTGTACATGCAGTGAGTAATGTACCCTAATAATACGACTTTAAAAAAGACCCATCCACAATTATAACCGGAATGCAATGAATCCAACCTTCCCTCCATGCAGAAAGGCACATGAAATAATTATTAAATTCACCATTTTCCTTGCACGAATAAGAAACAATAGAACTTGGGTTACTCCTTTCAAGCACATGACACATTGAAGGTAAGCGTGCATATGAATCCTTTTCAGATCCCATAGCCAGTTCCATTGCCAATTCTTTGGCAATCCATGCCTTTTTGTATGACATGTAAATGCCGTATTTTGTCTGCATATCAAGCATAATTGATTTCGGAGGGTATGGTTTATTGGATGCATCACCGTACTCATGTTTGATAAGTTCGGCAATAATCCTAGACGTAGCCTGACGGCTATTTCGTTGACGTACATCAATTGGGCATGTGTTCTCAGAGTCAAATTTGTGAAAAAATGGATAATGAAAGGAATTATCTTTTGTAAAAAAAATGAATGCATTTGTTATAGGAAATAAAAAATGTATGATGCCATACAAAAAAGTAGCAATTAAAAAATATTTTGGCAATATACACTATTAAATTAAAGTGAGGAGAGGACATTAAAAGTGAAGGAATAGCAGTACACGTAGGGCAGTGGTAAAATGAGATTCTTTAACATGCAAACAAAATGTAATGCAAAACGTGGGGCATTAAAATAAGAGCACATGGGGCATTAAAATATATACACAAATAACAATACTGATTTTAATTTCCCAAATTAATATTTTTACACTAAAAAATAGTGACACCATACACATAGGACAGTAGAAAAATTAAATAAGAAATACGTTAACATGCAAACAAAAAATATGGAAAAAGCAAGGCATTATAACATTTGCACAAAGGGCATTAAAGAATATGTGAGTAAGGGCATTACAACAGTGCTAACATAATTAAGACATAAATTTACATGCAAACACAGATTAAGACAAAAGTAAGGGCATTATAACAGTTGCACAGAGGGCATTAAAAATATATGCACAAATGTAATACTGATTTTATTTTACTAAAATCGTTTTTTTTTAAACAAAAAAGAGCACCAATACAAGACAGTGTAAGGAATAAATGTATTTAGATTTTGATGATGCTAGGTTGATTAGAATTTTAAAGTACCCCATTAGCATTTTTGTATTAGAAATTTTCTTTGTAAGTATTAGCATAGTCGACTGGCCAGAGACCCTCTTGGACTTTCTGATCAGAGTTGCTCATCAGAGTTGCTATCAGAGTTGCTCCCAGAGTTGCTCATAAGAGAAGCTACCAGAGTTGGGTACCAGAGTTGGCATCAGAGGCAAACATCAGAGTTTCAACAGTACAAACAATTAATGAAGATGTCTTCTACACTCCAACGGGAAGACTGCTCCCAGTATATAAGATACACTTCGAAGGATTGGGATAACAACGATTCTACAAAAAGAAATATATTCAAACGCTCATAGACTTCAACCTATATTCATCACGAGCAACACAATAAACGTTGAAAAAGATTATAAACTCCATATCTTTTCTTTCCAACGTAAAAGAATCGTTCCTCCAGTTCTTCAACACTTCGAAAGCCTCAACTACACATCCATTGTGAAGAAGCTACGTTGGAGAAAACTGATTTTCAATCAAACACTTCTTGAAAAAGAAGAGACGTCTCAAACTAGCTGGAGTAAGTGAAGTGGGGATACTTCCAAGAGACTCAGTGAAACGAGACCAGCCATTAGGAAGCAAGGACTGCATCTCGGGTGGCAACTAGACTTGAAGAAGACGAGGAGTGCTTATTAAGTGCTAGGGACTAAGACGTTGTAAACTGTTGTTTTTGCAAGCATAGTGGAACAATGGACTAGAGGAACACATTGTTCCTTGAACCACTATAAAAACCCCTGTGTCATTTACTTTACGCATTAATTTTCTGTACTTAAGACTCTAACTGTTTAACTCAAAAGGTTGGACTCTGTGTTCAGCAGATCTCCCTTAAGAGTTATCAGAAAGGCATTTGCCTTAGTGTTTTTCCCGAGGCTACCCAGACAGAACTCTTATCCTCTGCCAGGTCCAATTCTGCCATCAGAACTCGACCTTCTCTGTCACCAGAACTAGACCTTCTCTGGTAAGTCAGAGTTGACTCAGAGAAAAGTTTGAAAATCCTGAACAGTCTATTCACCCCCCTCTAGACTATTCCCATTGTAAACAGGACCAACAAGTGGTATCAGAGCCTCCTCGTTCTTGTAATCTTTTAGGTTACTTGCTGAACAGAGATCCACTTGTTTTAGCCTTTTTTTTTAAAGAGAAATTTTATTGATAATAGGAAAGACAGTACAAAGTGATAAAGTAAAAGGCGAAAAAATAGTACAAAAAGGAAAGGAACAAGGAAACTAATAAATTATCTAATCCCAGGGGAAGTCTCTAGTTTGAGATCTTGTTCTCATGCTATGCCGCCTTTTGTTCTTTTGAGTTTTTCTATAGATTTTGATCTGCGTGTTCATGTTCTCAGTCGGTAGGCAATTTTTTGTGGTTATGAAATTTGCTTTTCGGCAAATTGCTATATTGAATTTGGACTTCTTGATTTCATCTGGGTATGAAATAGGAGGACGACGGTCACTTTCAGTAGCATGTCCCAAGAAGTCATCTGTGAAGATGGAGTCATCTGAGTGATCAAAATCATCAGAGGCACATGAGTAAGCCTGTAAGGCTGGCAACTCGGGTTTTTTCCCATTCGAAAAGACATGTTCATTTTCGGCACCTAACTCTCGAACTTGTTGATGTAGAATCAGTTTGGAGATTGAAATGGGGTCCTCGGTCTGTAATTCGCTCCCAAAATGAAGAGAGATTGAGTCGTCCTGCACCGTTGTTGGGACCCCTGCAAAATTAGAAAAAATATTGAGGAATTTCAACAGGCTCGAGCTAGCGGGTCCCATTGGTATCTTAATGGATCCACCATTGTGTTTAGCAATTTTCACATAGTAGCCAGCATCTCTGTTAATTTCCACGGAAATTGTGATATCTCCAAATCGTCTTTTTTCCCCATAATATGAGTGACCAGTGTTTCTAAACTATGACATGAACCGAACGATTTGGGGAACTAGCTCCAAATTGAAGTGAATCTTGTGCAGAACGGACCTTTTAATTTCAAAAAGTACCAAATCTCCATTATTCACTGAGAATTTGAAAGATTTACTTTCAATTTTGACCGAGTCAAATCCATATTCTCCAAAGAAGGAAAATTTTTCACCAACTTTGAGTAAACCAGTTTCTGCGTGGTTTATTTCAACCCTTTCCGTAATAGCAGTATGGTTTATTGATCCAGAGGAGCCTGCCTCATCAGTACTTTGAGTTATTTTTGCGCAGCCTGAGTTGGTACTATTTGAAATTGGAAGAAAATTTTCAATTGAGAGAGGTGCAGGGCCCGCTGTGTCCTGTGGAACGTCTGTGTTGCCAGTGACCGTGTCTACCTTAACTAAATCCGCCCATGTGAAGGCTCGTTGCCTTGCTGTTGAAAAAGACCCCACCACGTTTCCATTGTTGACGACCCCCAATTGATTGGACCCCCGCTTCGCTGTGACCGCTGGAGGCGTTGGCCTGGACATTTCCGTGATTCTGAGATCCGGCGAAGGTTGTTGAAGAATGTCTTCGATTGGTTGTGTTCTGGCTTTCGCCGAAGAGGAAGCTGGTCTTCGGTTGCCATCAGTGCGGTTGCCATCGTTTCTAAAGATAGATGGCCGGGCGATTGGGATTCTGCTCTCATCTATGAATTCATCTTCCTTAGATGTATGGTCCAGTTCTACTAATTGGGGAGAACAATCAATTAAGCATTGAAATCGGTTGGATTTTCCAGAGTCCTAAAGCTTTGCTGGGGAGGTTCGATGAATAGCAGAGGAGGGCTGATAAGGGCGTTCAAAATCACGCCTTTTCCTGTTGACGGTGCGCCACCCGTCTGTACCAGAGTGGCCGAGCTGTGGCCGACCTTCACTTCGCCGTACCAGGTAGTGACCCCCTGTAATGGAGTCATACTTTGTCTTATGGGATCTGGGGTTGAAGTGATACCTGGATTTGTGAACCGGGGCTGTGTGATAGAATGTGTGAATTCCGTCAGAACGGAGCCTGCGTAGAAGATTGTTGCAGCGCCTGTGGTTGATTCCTGCAACGCGGTGACGGAAATTGAACTGCGATGGTGCCTGAAATCGGAATCTGACCTCCTGATGGTTTGGATGCCTGTCCGTGCATTCCAACAGTTGATTTGGAGACCTGCGTTGAGGGTAGTAGAGTCCCTCTAATTCCAGGTCATCTGCTTCTCTATGCGGATGAAAATGATTCCTACGCTCCAATGTCGGACCATGTTGGTCAAAATGCTGAAATCGATGGTTGTATAATTGATAATATGAATTCCGGCGATGTGTTTTAGCCTCTTTTAATCATTTATTATAGATAACACTCTTTAAAAGAACTTGATGTTTTCAGTTACCAAGTTTGATGATTGGAAGATATGCATGAAGGCCCATCTCTGCGCACTACATGATGAAATGTGGGAAGTCCTAGATGCAAGTTCGTTCACTGAGTTCACCAAGGTGAATCTTGAACACACTGTTGGCAGTGGTCAACCCCAAATGATCACTAAGCTTCGTCATGAGTGTTCAAATGAAGAAAGAAGGAAGTACAACATTGACAATATAGCCAAGGACATTCTGTACAAGGCCATTGATGACAAGTACTTCACAAGGATCAAGAAGTGCACCTCTGCTAAGGCTATCTGGGACACACTTACCCTGATAGGAGCTGGTGATGAGCAGGAGAAAGATAACAAGCTGACCATTGCTATGAAGAAGTTTGAGGACTTCAAGCTTCTACCCTAAGAATGCATTGCTGAAATGTATGCACGCCTGCTCACTCTCACTATTGAAATTTCAGAACTTGGGAAGGACTTGAGTCCCAAGGAGACCAACCTGAAGGTCCTCAGAGGTCTACCTTCACCCTGGAAGATGAAGGTCACTGCCATGAGAGACAGCAAAGATCTCAGAACCTATAGCACTGAGAAACTCATCTCTGATCTCAAGTCTTATGAGTTCGAGATGAGTGAAGAAGAGAAAGAAGAAGTTGAGGACAGAACAACTACTGCCCTCACAGCCAGCACCTCACAAGTAAATAACTTTTACCCTTCCACACTTTTAACTGACGAATATATGGCTGTTTTTGCCAGGAAGTTCAGGAAATTTATGAAGCCCAAGGATGGCAGAAGTCCATCCTCTAGCCGAAAGCCACACCAGAAGACCAAGTCTTCAGAAAGCAGTGGAGAGCTTCTCTGCTACAATTGCAGACAACCTGGGCAATTCAAAGCCAACTGTCCACACCCCATATTCTCCAAAAGGCAAGGCCAAGAAGGAGAAAAGAAGTATGAACACAGAAGGAGGAAGGCACTCATCACTGAGCAACCAGAGAAGGATCCCCTCTCTGAGACAGAGTCTAGTTCAGAATCAGAATCAGATGAGACATTCTGTTGCCTGGATACAGAGACTGAAGACCTATGCCTTATGGGTCAATCTGATGATGAGGTATCCTCTACCTCTGCTTCTAGTTTTGCTTCGGTAGGCAAAGCTTTTGATTCAGAATCAATGTCTGAATTTTGGGAAGAGTTTCAAGCCATCCAAACCACTTATTCCTCTGTCAAAGAAGAAAACAGTAAGCTGAAAGTTGAGATCGTTGACTTAAGAAAGAAGGTTGAAACCAAAATCAATCTTCTCAATAAGGAAAGAGATCAGCTGGAAGCTGAAAATGTTTCTCTTCTAAAGAGAGTAAGAAAAATAGAGTCAATTGAGATCAAGTATAACACCTACCAGAAGGCCCAGTATTCAATGGAAAGGTTACTACTTGGCCAACAAATTGGCATTGGTTTTGGTCTTAGTTATGTCTCAACAGAATGAGGTGAGCCTTCTGTAATGCTTAGCACCAGAGGTGCTCAAGCAGACAATGTCATAGTGCCACTGATTTCTAGCCCCATCTGCCAAACTAGTGTATCTGATACCAAGGTGGTTCATGAGGAAGTGAGACTAAAAAAACAAAAGATAAAGGTTCAACCCAAACAAGTTTTGAAAAACAATGAACCTGGTAGAAAACCTAACAACAGAAAATGTTAGTCCCTGTTTCTGTAACAGCAATGAATAATCGATCTAACAAGGAAGATTAAACGTAAAGATGAACACAGAATGAATCACCGTAAAACAAAGAACTCCATACATCTCCCCAGGCAAAGACATCCATGATGCACTGGAAGAGGCGGTGATATACGACAAATGGCCGAGAAAATGGACAGAATGGGATGATCTCCGGGTTGAAGCCGAGCAAGAGGACATGCAAAGAAACTGGTGGCTACGAGAGCTTATTAACAAATGCTCTGAAGATATCATTAGGCTCGAGGACGATGAACGCAAGGAAGGGGAGAACTACAAGGAATCCCAGAAAGCTCTTGAATCGGTCGTAAGACAATCAGCGGGAAGACTTCCCAAGACAGAGAAACCCTGGGACAACGTTCGAATCAAAGCCCCCTTCCAAGAAGAAATCAGAGAGCATATCTGGCGTAGACCAGACAAAGTCAAGCCACTGAACGAACTGAAGCTAAGAGGCCTTACACACTTGAAAGGAAAACAGGCTGGAGGTCATCTGCATATGTTGCTGCAAAGGTCAACCGGTACACAGAGAGAACTGATGGAACAAGATCTGAAGTCGAATATTCTCCCGATTCATCAAATTCTACAAGTGAAAGCTGAAGACTATCATGGAGTAACATTCTACACTTTCAGACTTCAACGCACCGATGGGAGCGAATTCACTTGTCAAGAGAACGACTTCATCATGCTGAAACCGGATGACATCTACCAAATGCTCATGGTCTACAGATACCTTCCAGTCAGGCAAAACATAGTATACAACGAAGGCCTCGCAGCTATCAAGAGATTCATGCTTAGACAGATCCGAGTACACTCCTCACATGACCTACAAATGGCTATTGAATGCAATCTAAAGAAGACAAATCTGACAAAGCCAAAACAGTATGACCAGAACTTGAAGACTTCCCAGCCTATCACATCTTCTTCAAACCGCCAGCAGTCACCTACCTGAACCACAAGAACGAAAAGCGTCTGATGGTAGTCAGTGAAATCGAGAAATACTGCGACGGAACACTGAAGATAATCAGAGAGCAGATTCTACAGATGAAGGCAAAGCTGGAAGAAAATCTTCAAAAGGCATCGTCTTATATTCAAAAGGAACACTCTACTGTAGAGACAATTTTAAAGGCCATTGACGATCGCCTCGAAAAGAGAAATATGCTAAGACAGTATGAACATGCATTCGGATTAAGGAAGCACTACTTCAAATCACAGAAGCAATAAGAGGATGACGCTTGATCACAAAGGGGGAGATTGTTGAAGATATTTTATTGTGAATCAAGTTGGTCATAGATTAGCTTTATATTTAATCCTTGTATTTAAATAGTGCATAAATTAGATAGAAATCAGGCCAAGTGTTAGGCCCATTTAAACAGGCCAAAAGCCTGTTTCGCCTAACCTAAACCTCGCCTATATAAAGGGAGCCGAGGTTTAGGTAAAGGTTGAACGTCGTACTTATTATTCATAGCCTTACGCTTATATCATTCTGCTGTACGTTCCACGATTTATCAAAGAAGGTTTTACGGTGATTCATTCTGTGTTCATCTTTACGTTTAATCTTCCTTGTTAGATCGATTATTCATTGCTGTTACAGAAACAGGGACTAACAATTGGTATCAGATCCGATCGAGAACGATCAGAAGAACTCCTGCAGAATACTCTGTTTTTGTTAACGTAGTTCATTCTGTCGATTTTTTGCTCTGTAATTTTGTTTCTTGTTCAAAAGTTGTAAAAGTTACACCTTTGGAATCGCCGTTTCAAAGCGATCAAAGGGTATACTTCAGTTTGTGTTTTACGCAATTTTTGATTTCGAGATATCTCGAGCTAGGCATCTCGACATCCTACTTCTTCACAGGTTCTGCTACGTTTTTTCGAGCTGAAAACTTTACCAGAAGATCTCGACATTCAACTCTACAGGAAACTATCTTCAGATTTTGATTATCTGATTTTTACAGGTTGAAAGATTTCGACATTGAGGATTTCGACATCTAGGATTTCGAAATCTTGATTTCGAGAAAAGGTTTCGACATCTGGTCTCGACATTTGACTCATCAGATTAAGATTTCGAGAGATTAACTTCTCGACATTTCAAATCTCGAGATCAGCATCTCGAAATTTGAAATCTCGAGATCCCAAATCTCGAGATCCTTAATCTCGAGCCCAAATCTCGATACCGGGCCTCCATTATCGAAATCTGAGATTTCGATTTTCAGATCTCGACATCTGATTTTTCGAGATTCTGCCTCTGAAAATCTTTTGATCAATTTTCTCGAACGGTCAGTTTAGAACAACAATGGGTTCAGAATACAATGCACAAGGGAACAGCAGTACCCCTCCTAGCCTCAGGAAGGGAGAATACCAAATGTGGAGGAACAGATTTTTAAACTTCCTCGAGCACAAAGAGAACTCTTCTGCAATGCTCGAATCTTTACTTGAAGGACCAGCTGAACTTTTAATTTCAGTTGGTGGAGATCCGGAGAACAATCCTCCTATTTTTCCAGAAATAAGGAGAAAAGTGCCATCTGAATACACAGAAGCCGACAAGCTCAGACTTCGTGGTGATCTTATGGCCAAAACGTATCTCCTTCAAGCAATACCGAACGAGGTTTATGTTCTCATAGATAGCATGCAGACAGCTAAGGAGATGTGGGATGAAATAGAGAAGCTGCTACAAGGCACAAGCATCAGCCTCAAAACAAAGAAGACTACAATTCTCATCGCTTATGACTCCTTCAAAGCAGGACCAGGAGAACCATTGAATGAGACTTACAATAGACTTGTTCAACTGGTAAATGAACTCAGAAAGATCAAAGTATTCAGGTCCAATCTGGAACTAAATATTAGATTCTTATCCAGCCTGCATCCTGCTTGGGAATAGACAGTGAAGGATGTCAGATCACGGATAGATCTGGACGAAATTGACCTCTGCACACTCTATGAACATCTGAAGCAATTCGTCAACGAGGTTGCATGCGCTGAGGATCATCACACCACAAACCCCTTAGCTCTTGTAATGGATGCTCAGCCTAGAAGGACAACCACTTCACTAAAGAAGAAAAAGAAGAAGGTGGTGGTTGAATCAGATGATGATGAGAGTGACGATGACAAATCTGATCTAGAGGCTGAGCTAGCAGACTTACAGAAGAAGATGGCAATGCTGGCCAAAAGATTTGCAAAGAAGAACACTTCCTCCAACAGACTCAGAACTTCCTCCTCAAACTACAAGCAGAAGAACCATGATCAAGGATCTTCTAGGAAGGCATCATCGGCAGAAGAAGCTCCTAAATGCTATAATTGCGGCAAGCCTGGACATGTGATCAAAGACTGCCGCCTCCCAAAGAAGAAAGATGCTAACTTCTACAAGCAGAAGATGCTGTGGAATAAGCAGAAAATGCTGATGGTACAGAAAGAAGAAGAAACCTCTGCCATGATTGCTGAAAATGAGAACTGGGCAGAAGATTCTTCTGAGGAGGAGGAAGAGGAAGACAACTATGCTCTTATGGCACGAGTGGAGGGAGATGAAATAAAGGGTGATGCTGCGATCCCCGAAGGCAACTGCTCAACAAGCTCTGTAAGTACCTCCCATACTTCTTTAAATAATCAAATGCAGTCCTTACTTGAAAAGGATAATCTAATCAAAGAACTAAAGGAGAGACTAGACAATAATCATAGAGTTCTGAAACAGAATCTAGACCAAAAGTCTTCCTTAAGTACTCAACTTGAAATTGCAAAAGATCAAGTCAAAAAGGTGTCCTCAGATTTTGAAAGCTTTGAACTAAAGATAGCTGAATTAACTAAGAAATTTGAGGACAGTGAACGGAAAAAAAGCACAGCAAAGGCTGAATGCGATGTTTTGCATAACAAAAGAAGAACGCTTTTAAATAAAGTAAAAGAACTAGAAGATCTAGCTGCTAGAAGAGGTCAATCTGAACAAACTGTTTTTCTGCTTAACAACAAACAAAAGGATGACCGATTCTACAATGCTAAAACAGGACTGGGCATAACTAACCCACGTAATCTTAAGAAAGTTAATTGCCTTCAAATCTATAACAAAGATTACACGGGACTAGGGTTTGGTGAGAAAATGTATTTTCGAAGTGATGAAGATTATGCTGAAGCAGAAGAAGAAAAAAGAAAGAAACCAAAACCTGCGATTTCTTGTGATTATCCCTCTGTAAATGAAAAACAACTTTCAGAAGAAAAACCTACTTCCTGCTTTAGTGAATGCCTTGACCCTTATGCCAAAGATATTCCTCACATAGGACACCCTCTAGACCCTCCCCCAAGAGTAGGTATTGCTAAAACTGGTGAGGAACCATGTATTTTTCCCATGGCTCAAAAGCTCAAAAACATACAGAAAACTCTTGATAACGAGAGAGAGAGATTTGAAACTGAAAAGAAAGGTTTTGAGCGCAACTGGCAGGAACTTCTTCAAAAATTTAATGATTTGAGTGAGCAGTCTCATGCTAAAACAGACCCTTCTACGACCAAGCCTGACAGCTCACACACCTCACATGAGAAAAACAATGCTTTTAAAGGTTCGTCCACTCATCTCTCTTCTCCTTTGTTTACAGGGAATGAAGTGAATAAGGAAGGAGAAGAGAAGAATGAGTGGAGGAAAAAGAGGAAGGAAATCGCAGAAGGCAAAAAGAAAGTTTTTGAGAAAAGTGCCAGCCCTAGATCTAGTTCAATTTTTTACTCAAAAGTTAATTGTAATTTTGTCTCTACAAAGCAAACTTCTAGTAGTTCAGTCTTGAGTCCCAAGCTGAATATTTCTGAGACATCTTCTAGACAAAGTTCTATTTTTAATACAAGTGTTGCTTATGATTATTCTGTTCCAGATCCCCATAATTATGAATGTGATATGAATGTTGTTAAATCTAAGCCTTCCAGAAAGCTTAAACCTGAAAAAGAAACAAAGAAAGGAACTTCTAAGGGAACGTTTTGTATTCCAGATATGAAATATGCCCTTAGAGTTCATTCTAGGAAACATGTTAATCGGCTTTCTAAGGAGGAGATTTTCAAAACCAAACTCAAGAAACAACCGTTCAATCACAAAGCACATGTCTACTCTCCTCCTGAACATAAAACGAAAAGGTGGGTCCCCAAGATGAGACCTACCAAACCTGAATCGAATAGGTGGGTCCCCAAACGAAGACCCATCCAAACTAAAACTGAAAGGTGGGTTCCCAATCGTAGACCCATCATTACTGAAACTGAAAGGTGGGGTCCAAATCGAAGACCCATCATAACTGCAACTGAAAAGTGGGTCCCCAAACTTAGCCCCACAAGGACTAAAATGGAAAGGTGGGTTCACAACATCAGACCCACCAAAATGGAAAGTGCTAGGGAGACTCCAAAAACCAGACACGCTGCAAAAGCAGATCTGGCTATTGGAAAGCCCATCAAAGATAGATCTTTTGTTGAAAGAGCAGCTGACCTTGGATCACTGCTCTAAGCAAGATTTAAAAAGGTGTTTCTTGATAATAAGGAAGGACCCACTCCAAGTTGGGTACCTAATCCTATTTGATTGTTTTGCAGGACGGTCATGTGTGGCACTTAGACTCAGGATGCTCAACCCACATGACCGGAATAAAGCACCTTTTGAGCAACTACACCAACTGCTACGGAGGAAATGTCAGATTCGGGAATGACGCCTCATCTCCTATCCTTGGGTATGGGGACGTCATCTGTGCCAGCGTCACAATAAAAGATGTTTCATTCGTCAAAGGGCTCAAACACAACTTACTGAGAATTGGACAATTCTGTGACAGCGAGATGGAAGTGAGGTTCTTTGCAAAACAATGCTGTGTTCTTGACAGCACAGGGAATACATTATTAACGTGTTACAGAACATCAAATCTGTACACTATTGATCTGAAAAGCGTCCAATCCACCACTTCCATCTGTCTGCTGTCCAAAGCTTCAACTGAACAGAACAACCTTTGGCACAGACGTCTCTCCCATCTGAACTTCAAACATCTATCAACCTTGGCCTCCAAGAAACTTGTAAAGGGGCTTCCTCTGCTAAAGACTTCCGCTGAAAATCATTGTAGTGCCTGCAAAATGGGCAAAATGACGCGAAGCTCCCACAAGTCAAAAACTGAACCTTCATCTACTCATCAGTTGCAGCTAATACACATGGATCTGTGTGGACCTATGAGAGTACAAAGCATCAACGGTCGCAAATACACTCTGGTGATCGTTGATGACTTCTCTAGGTATACATGGACAAAATTTCTTCGATCAAAAGACGAAGCTGCGGAAAACATTATGACCTTTATCAGAATGATCCAGAAACTGCTACAGCACAGTGTTCGAATTGTCAGAACTGACAATGGTACCGAGTTCAAAAATCAGACTCTCACTGAGTTCTATGAATCCAACGGTATCACTCAGCAATTTGCAGCAGCTAAAACTCCCCAGCAGAACGGAGTTGTTGAGAGAAAGAACAGAACCCTTGTTGAAGCAGCACGCACCATGTTAATCCAATCAAGATTGCCTCACTTCATGTGGGCAGAGGCAATCAATACCGCGTGCTTCACTCAGAACAGAACCTTCATCCACAAGCGCTTCGACAAGACTCCATATGAGATCCTATTCAACAAAACTCCTGATATTTCTTTCCTCAAGGTTTTTGGCTGCAAGTGCTTCATACTCAATGATCGGACAGAGAGAAGTAAGCTGGATCCCAAAGCCAGAGAAGGCGTGTTTATTGGCTACTCACTGCAATCCAAAGCTTACAGAGTCTATCTCAGAGACAAGCGGACTGTCATCGAGAGTGTAAATGTTACATTCTATGAAATGGCAGACTTTGCTATTGAACATCTCCAAACCGATCCATCCACTGCTGTACCAGTAGCTTCTGATAAAGCTGAACCAAACACCGAACACGACGATGTGATTCTCGACTCTCTCTTCAGAAACTTTTACGAGAACTCACAATCTCCACCTCCTGCATACACTCCAGAGTCAACATCAACTCCAATAGCAGAGATTCCGCTCCTCACAGGACCAGATGACGTACCATCCACACCCTCAACCCCTCAAACCAATCCCAGAGGTGTGGATGATCACGGCTTTGCCATAAGTCCGGAATCATCTCCACTACACACCACAGCTGCCCCAGAGCCTTCAAATTCATATCAGGACTCAGATCAACCAATAATTACTCCAACTCCTCTAGCTCATGAGAGGAAGTGGACAAGAGCACATCCTGTTGAACAAATAATCGGTAATCCAAGTCAAGGTGTGCGAACGAGATCAGCAACAACAAATGAATGTCACTATGCATGCTTTCTAAGCAAGAATGAACCATCCAAAGTCTCAGAGGCACTCGCTGATCCAGATTGGGTGATTGCCATGCAAGATGAGCTCAATCAATTTGACAGACTAGATGTATGGACACTCGTGCCTAAACCCCCTCAGAAAACCATCATTGGCACAAAATGGGTGTTCAAGAACAAGAAGGACGAAGAAGGCATAGTGATAAGAAACAAGGCACGACTGGTCGCTAAAGGATATAATCAGCAAGAGGGCATAGACTATGATGAAACATTTGCACCCGTAGCAAGAATTGAAGCAATCCGCCTTTTTCTTGCGTACGCGGCCCACAAGAACTTTACTGTCTTTCAAATGGATGTCAAGACTGCCTTTCTAAATGGAGTCTTGGAAGAAGAAGTCTATGTCTCTCAATCCGAAGGATTCGTAGATCCCAGATATCCCGACCATGTGTACAAGCTAAAGAAAGCTCTGTATGGGTTAAAACAGGCACCAAGAGCTTGGTATGATGCATTAACCGAATTTCTGATTGACTCAGGTTTCTCAAAAGGGAAGATTGATACCACACTTTTCATCAAGCGACAGAAGTCTGACATCATCCTGATTCAGATCTATGTTGATGACATTATCTTCGCCTCCTCAAATCCACGCCTGTGCAAACACTTTGAGAAACTGATGAAAACCAAGTTCGAGATGAGCATGATGGGAGAACTGAATTTCTTCCTAGGCCTGCAAGTAAGACAACTCTCTGACGGCATTTTCATCAATCAGTCAAAGTATATTCTGGAAATGCTTAAGAGATTCAACATTGATAGCAAATCTTCCATGACGACCCCCATGTCCCCAAACAACAAACTGGACTCAGACCCCTCCGGGAAGCCAGTCGATGCTACAAACTACAGGGCCATCATTGGATCTTTGCTATATCTCACATCAAGCAGGCCTGACATTGTCTTCTCCACATGCTTATGTGCACGCTTTCAGGCAAATCCGAAGGAATCCCATCTGACCGCTGTTCGAAGAATTTTGAGATACCTCAAAGGCACTGTGAATCTAGGCCTTTGGTATCCCAAGCACTCAGGTTTTGACCTAGTCGGATATTCGGATGCTGACTTTGCTGGTTGCCGGATGGACCGCAAAAGTACATCGGGGGCAGTCCAATTCTTGGGCGATAAGTTAGTCTGCTGGTCTTCCAAGAAACAGAACTGTGTGTCAACATCTACGGCCGAGGCAGAATACATCGCGACTGCTAGCTGTTGTTCACAAATATTATGGATGAAGACCCAGCTAAAAGACTACGGTTACACACTCCGCCATATCCCGATCTACAGTGACTCTCAAAGCGCCATAGCCATCACCAGCAACCCGGTTCATCACTCCCGCACCAAACACATCGACCTGCGCTATCATTTCATCAAGGATCATGTGGAGAAAGGAGACATTGACATGTATTTTGTAAGCTCAGAGCTTCAATTAGCTGACTTGTTCACTAAGGCATTGGATGAAAAACGATTCCAGTTCCTAGTCTCCAAGCTGGGCATGTTGAACCTCGAGCCCGTTTAAATATGTCTCCACTAATCTAAAAAGTGTGTGTGTGTGTGGGACTTGTAAAAAGTGTGTGTGTGTGGGATTTGTAAATAGTGTGTGTGCGTTGCATGTGTTGAGGGGGAGAAAACCAGAAAAATAACAAAAAATAGTGTGTGTGCGTTGCATGTGTTGAGTGGGTGAAAAATCAAAAAGAACAAAAAATAGTGTGTGTGTGTTGCATTTGTACATATTGTTCGGTGCATTTTTTGAGGGGGAGAGAATTTTCACTGTTTGAGGGGGAGCTAATTTTCACTGATTAAGGGGGAGCTCTCTATTTTTACTGTTTTTAGGCCTCGAAAACCTTAAAAGAGAATTGTGTGCCAGCCCAATAATTCGGGCTCAAATGTTACGGAAGAGGTCCAAAATTTCTCGCGTATAAAACCTTTACGAAAAACCTTCCTTCCCTTATGTTTTTTTTCAAAGGACAGATTTCTCTTCGCAAAAGCAGAGCTCTCAGACCCTTCGTCCTCTTCAAACCCTCTGATTTTCGCAAACTTCACTCCTTCTCCTTCTCCGATTAGCTTTCGCGAAACCTCTAAGGTAGTTAACATTCACAATCGCAAATCTCGAAAATGAAGGATCATCTCGAAAACGAAGGATCATCTCGAAAACCTGTGTTCTTTGTTCGTATTCGAAATCCTGAAACAGAACGTTTGATTTCGCAAAAACCTTGAACTTTTTCTAAATCAAAATCAAATTAAGTTTTTTTTCGTTTGAATGTATGTCGAAATCGCTTACTATTATCTACTATATCTTTGTTTTTACAGGTGGATTAAAACTCTTCGAAATCGTCGGTTCATCTTCTCGAAATCGAGATCTCGAGATCTTCATCTCGACATCTTGATCTCGAGATTTGAATCTCGAAATCAAGATCTCGGGATCTTCATCTCGACATCTTGATCTCGAGATTTGAATCTCGAAATCAAGATCTCGAGATCTGCTTCTCGACATCTTGAT